TTTGAACAGATACCTCACCAAAGATCTACAGATGGCAGGTAAGCACATGACCGGATGCTCAACATCATCAGTCATTTGGAAAATGCAAATTAAAACCAGAACGAGATACCACTACATACCTATTAGAACCGCTAAAATTTAAAAGACTGACTATACCTAGTACCAGTGAGGATGTGAATTAAGGACACAGTCATGCACTGCTGATGGGAATGTAAGTGATACAATTAATTACTTTGGAAAACAGTTTGTCGATCTGTTAAAAAGTGAAACACATAGGAATCTATCACTGCACTCAGTAAATCCAACATTCCATTCAGGTATTTACCCAACAGAAAAGAAAGCATATGTCCATACAAAGGCTTCTACATAAAAGTTCACAGCAGCTTTACACAGAATAGCGAAAAGTTAGAAACAACCCAAATATTACCAGGTGAATGATAAACCAACTGTGGTGCATCCATACACTGGAATACTACTCAAGAATTAAAAGGAATACACTTCTGATACACCATTAATAAATCTCAAAATGAATATGCTGTGTGAAAGAAGCCAGACAAGGGGCCGGCCGAGTGGCTCAGTTGGTTCGAGAGCTTACTTACCCGCAACTTAGATTGAATACAGCACCTTGAGCTGAGCTGCCCTGAGCTGCTGCTGGGCAGCCGGATGGCGACTAGACTTGGAGCTGAGCTAGCTGCGCCTTCCATAACTAAGATTGAAGGACAACTTGTCTGTTCCCCTTATTCAATTCCCCCAACACTGCTACCCTTCCCCAGTTCCCCAATAAAATCTTAAAAAAAAAAGAAACCAGACAAAAAGGAGTACGTGAAGCCTGAGTCCGCTTATATAAAATCTAGAAAATGCCAACCATCTATAGTGACAGACAGCAGCTCAATAGTTGCCTGATGACAGGGAGAAGCAGCAGGAAGGAGAGGGAGGAATTACAAAGGGGCACATGGAACTTTTGGGTGTGATGGCTATTTTTATAATCTTGATTGTGGTGATAGTCTCAGGGTGTATACATGTCAAAACTTTTTAAAATCATACAGTTTATTTCATGTCAATTCTATCTCAATAAAGCTCTTGAAAATAATTTTTAAAAATTACAATTGCAATTAAATAATTCATTTTGAAAGTACTAAAAAGAAAAAATAGTGCTACAAGAGGACATAATAAGGGGTAGTGTAGTCTGAGGAGTCAGAAAAGCAAGCCTCCTTTAAGATAATGGTAGAAGCTAAGATTTGGAGGATATTTAGGAATCAGCCAAAGACCGGATAAGGAAGAGGGTTTAGAGAAGGGTAACAGCAAGTGTGACATACCCTGGGGCTAAAAGGAATGTGACACTTTCACAGACCACTGCAGGAAAACAGGAGGGTGAGTCCAATCCACTAAAGAAACCAAATCATGCAGACACATGGTCCTGGAAACAATGCTACTACAAGTAACTTGATCAATTCAGGATCTTCCAACCACTTAATTTAAAGGATTTTAAATTTCTATTGTGATTATATTTTAATAATATAGAAAAAAAAACATGGATATATTGGGTCATTGGGAAAGTCATGACATATTTTTGCATTGAAAAACAGAAAAATACATCATGACTTTCCTGAATACCCAATATATTGCCTATTACAATCTTAGTTTGAAATAAGGAAGACCTGGGGACAGGGAACATTCATTGTAACTTTATAGTTACCGATAGTTTCCCTACTACTAATCAAAAAGCATGACAGATGTGTGTGTGTATGTATATACATGCACATATTTTTAAATAGTAGCTTAGGAAAAATATTTACACGTTTAATCGGGCCCCTTCTTGTTTACAATAGCAACCTCATTCCTGATATGTCTTCACTTTGCTGACACTAGAAATAGAATACTTCCATTATAAATGTGTGAAATTCAGTATCCACATCTGACTAAGAGGTTAAAAAGAAATCTATATACACTGAACATACAATAAGATTTAAAAGATGATTTTAGGAAAATGTTCAATAAATGTGTTTTAATAATAAATTGACATTTACAAATTACTCACAATATAGCATTTTCCAATCTCAGAGCATTAATTTAGGTTGTTTACCTAAAGAAGTCTTAGGTTCCTAGCTCACATTAGCAAGAAAATGTACAAGTTTGAACACAAAATATAAATTTATATAAATACAAATCTCAACTACTCTACAAAAATAATTCTAAAGAACTAGCTTCTAAAAAAGAATGTAATTTATTCAAATAGTTTATAGTGAAAAGTTTTCTAGCTTAATGTTATACCAAGCTGCTCAAGTAAATACTATTTGAATTAGCATAGATCACATCCTGATTATAACATTTCAAATTGTCACTGTCCTTTCTGAATCTCAGTCCTAAATCTTTCAGTCGAGCTTTAGTTGAAGATCAGTGTTCATTTTGTTTTACCTATGAGAAATGGCTTATAATTCTGAGTGTTTCATGCTTTTCAAGTGGAAACAGACAGAAGATGAATCAATGCTAAGAGAACTGAAGTACCACTTTCGATATCACGTTTGCTTCTGCATTTCTACTCCCAATCATCAATCTTCCATTCTAAAGAAACATTTGAAGAACACCCTTAATTCCCTAGTGAGATCCCTATGGTAGAAAAAAAGCTAAGTTACCATGGAACCAGCCAATTAATTTTGACACCTGCTTACCAAGATTGATCATTTTTGATGTATGTTTGTTAAGTTGCTATCCTCCAGTTTAGCAAAAGATTTTCAAGTTAATTAATGAAGTGAGAATTTCCAGTTAAAGTCTTTCCCACTGTGTTATTATTTCAAGTCATCATCCTGAAATAAATCTTTCTTAGCTAGCATGTACTTTTACCACAGACAATTCTTTTCTTCTACATTGATTCTTCCCTTTAACATTAAATACCACCTTTGCTTTACTCCTAAGAGTATACATAACAAAACACAGGTTGTACCAGTTATATTTACTCTAATTAATAGCTTGTATTCCACAGAGATATGAAATGTATTCTACTTATCAATAGAATACAATAAATCATAGGAAATAACAGCTTCTAAGGGAATGATGAACATTTAACGTTAGTTCAGGGTTTGTTGTTATTTAACCATATCTATATTTAAAAGTCAGTCCTCTTATTAATGTATTATGTTTATGAACACCCTCTATGTTATTTAAGGTCGTTTTAACTTGATCTGTGATCTCACCTACTAACTGGGACATCTAGTAGTGAGGGCACAGGCTGCTGATCTAACTGATTAGCAAGTTCCCTGCTTTAACAGAAGCTTCTCAGGACTGTGGCAATTTTTGTCCTTAGACAAATGGAGCAAATCCACCCGTGCAAAGGCCAATATCCCTAAATTACATATGAATCAAGCAATCTTCCTACTCGTGTATAAAAAGGTGTAAAAAATGGATGTGGCTTTTTTCCACTGTTTCTGCTAACATATATGTTCAAAATCTCTCCTGCACAATTCAATACAATATTGTTCCTGGTCTTCGAACACCTTTTGAAACTTTTAATTATCACCTCTCCCAAATTAAAAAACGTATTTAAAAAAACTATAGTACTATACTAATTTCTGAAAGTGTGAAGCTAGGAAACATTTTTAACCTATTGCTACAAACAAATTTCATTAAACTTCATTTTGAGATTTCACTTCCAAAAACCTGATGTAAATTGATTAAGTAGGATCTACCTAAAATTAAAAAGTGCCATTTTAAAAAATACATTTTTACAATGAGTTTCAAGGGGCATTGTTTTAATCAGCAAAAGTAAAAAAAAAAAAAAAAAGAAAAATATGCTGTGTTTAGAACTCCCAGGAAATTTTCCTGTAGTATATTAATAAGGTGAACCATATTCCTACCTTTGCCTTAGCGCCTAAGAGATACTTCACTTAGATTTTGCTATCATCCTGACAATATTAGTAATCTACATAGTTTAATTTCAGAGCCACAAACCAGCCAGAAAACTTCATATTAAGTATCTAGAAGGCTAAAAAGCTGATTTACTTAATGACTTACCTGCAAGGTGTCAGGTGGCAACCCTAATGGCCTCAACTATCTTATTTGCTGCTCCCGACGTTCACCTATTTCTTTTCATAGCAGGCAAGAATGCAATAAACGTCAACCAATCAATAAGAAGACAGCATCTTAACTGTTGGAAAGCAAAAGCCTTAGGGCCTGGAGCTTCAGAAAAACCCAAGTGATGCTCCCACACAACAGCTGATAGTGAAATAACCAGTTAGGAAAACCCATTATCTTCACCACATTAAAAAGTCCGGGTATTTCATCCTTTCATCTAATGCAAAGTCATTCTTTAATGTCTCAATTCAAGACTGTCCTAGTAAATTCAACATAGTATATTGGCTACAAGTAACCATTCTAGTTAAGCTGGCTGATTGGTAATCAAGAATCAGCCCTACTGTGAAATCTTGGGCAAATTACTCAAATTCGTTGCCTCGATTTTTCTCTGTAAATCCATTATAATTCTACTACATCATGAAGTTGTTGTAAGAAACAAATAAGGTAATCCACGCAAGGCGCTTAGAACAGTGTTTGGCACACCGTAAATCCATTATAAGCTACTTACGATCATTATTATTACTAAATAAATTCAAGTGTTAGCAGTGGTTACCTCTACAGAGAGGAATAGGATTGAGGGGAAAGAGGTACTGACTGGTAGGTCCTAACTTTTAACCTTTACACGTCTGTCCTGTTTGAATGTTTCACAATGTGCAAGGACTTCATGAGTTACTTGCATCATTTTCGATTAAAAAAACGGTGTCCTAACAAAATGGTGTTTGGCACCGTAACTGAGGGTGGAAATGCTGATGAGCAAGGGGGCCAGAAGTCGCTGCGAACATCTGGATCATCGGGAAAGGCTTGTGTCCAAGGGCTCCGCGCGGGCCGGGGTCCCCGAGGCTCCGGGGCTGGAGAGGGCAGCGCGCCGCGGGGGTGAGACCGCGAAGGGTGCGAGGCAGGGCTGAGGTTCAGGACCGGGCGAAGGCACTTACTTGAACCTGCCCTGGCAGTGCTGGCACTGGTCCCCCACCCAGCCCGGGTCGCAGAGGCAGGTGGAGTTGATACAGCGGCCGGAGAAGCAGGAGCCGGTCCTCTCGCACGGCTTGGACTGGGACACCTGCGCGTAGAGCGCCAGGTAGAGGAAGCCATAGCAAAGGAGCCAGTTGTTCCCGTCCAGCAGCCAGAAGGAGGCGCCCCCGCCGCTGCCGGCCGACCGAGCCCTACAGAGCCCCGGGGCGGGCGGCTGCGGGGGGCCAGCGAGGGCCGGGCCCCCCGGCTCCATCTTGCCCAGCGCCCCTGCCCGGCCGGGCTGTGCTTGCGGGCGCGGACGGGGATGCGCCTACGGGGAAATCCGGCCGGGGAAAACCGTGCCCCCGCCGCCGCCGCCGCCGCCGCTTCTGCTCCTCTTCACCGGCGGCCGCCCCAGTCCCGCTCCCGGGTCAGGAGGGACAGATCCCAGCCGCGCCCGCCTCCGCTGGGCTCCGTCCAGTCGCACGCGGGCATCGCCTCTCGGGCTCCTGACCTTGTCCTCAGCGGGCCGAGCCCACAGCCGCGGCGTCCCGGGCCGGGCTGGAGGCGGGGATCGGGCGGCGCAGGCTGCGCGGGGCGCTCCGGCGGGGACTTGCGGGAGGGGACCTGCGGGAGGAGGAGGGGACCCCGCGCGCGGCCCCGCCTCGCCCGCGGCTCGCGCCAACTGCCTCGGCGCCCGGCCCCGCGCGCCCGGGAGGGCGGGGGCCAGCTGGAGCCCCGAGGTGGGCGCGCCCAACGCGGGAGGGGGAGCTCGGGAAGCCGGGGTCAGCCCCGCACCGCCCGGCCTGCGGCTGGCGGCCCCCCAGCAGCCATTTTCCCTCCCGTGCCGTTAGCCAGCCACCGGGGCTGCGGCTGGAGCCCGCGGGGCGTGGGACTGCCTCCCCGCCTCGCGCCTGCCCACGATCCCCCCCCTCAGGCCCAGCGCCGTGGTCTCGCCCCGCCCGGGCTAGAACCAGGGACTCTCCCGCGAGCGCCCACCCGGCCCGGCCCGGGAGCCGAGGGGTGAGTGGGCCCCCAGGTGCGGCCCGCGTGCCCGCGGTGCCCTTCCCCGCGGCGCGCGGGGGAACCCGGCCCCACTCGCACCACGCGCCTCTCGAGCCCCACAAACGAAAGGTCAGCTCGCGACCGGCTTCGCAGCTTCAGCAAAAAGAAGCCCTTCGCGTCCGCCGTCTACAGCTGCAAAAGTGCAGCGCTTTTTTCCTGGCGCTTCCCCTTCCTCCGCCCCATCCTCCTGCCTATTTTTTTTTTTTCTTAAAAGAGAGAAACTCCAACAACACACAAAGAGCTGAGCATGTGCAGCAGGCAAAAGTCTTAAAGGCACCGCAGTCCGACCACGTTTTGGGGTCCGCAAGAATTGGGAGGGGCGGGGGGGGGGGTTAGGGACTGCGAGGGTCGCGAGCCGCCTTCGCGGTGGGACCGCTCCAAGGGGGAGCTATGTCTTCCACCGAAATAATGACTTCCTCTCCCCCAACAAAGAGCTGCGAGGTTCAGAACCCGTGGCATGCCACCCCTTGCAGACGCTGCCTCGGAACCCCAGGTATCTCCTTTTTTGCATGTCCAGTGTTTCCTCCTCCATCTGGGACAGTATTCTGCCTTGAAAAATAATGCAACATCGGGGCTTTTTTTCAGAAGAGCAGAAAAGATGCCCAAAAAGAGCCTCCTTCCAAAGAGGCAATCTTTCCTCCTTTAGATGACTTTCCAAGATTTGATGGCATATGCTGAAATATTTGCTTTGTACTTTTGTGTCTTCTCTAAACAGGCTGTTCGAACCCTTGAGAAAGGTAGCGGAACACAAATTGCAGCCATGCATACTCGAGTTTCAGCAAGGGTACTGGATCCCCACCAAAGAAGAGCAGGCAGTATGAAAAAGAATTTGAAATCTACCAAAGGCGTTTCTGACAGCCAAAGAAGAAAAGTTTTCGTTGTAACCACACAGTCATAATATTATTGTTAAGATTCAACTCATGTTTATTTTGGGCGTAATGTACCCACATCATCTCTTTTAAATCTTGATTATCCCCACTCTACAGATGAAATCCTCCATTAACCCCATTTTGCAGGTGAGGATGCAGCGACTCAGCAAGGTTTGAAAGATTTGTCAATGGCAAGTTAGGAGTAAGCAGTGAACCAAGCTTTCAACCCAAGTCCTCTGACTTCTGTGCTTTTCCCGCTATTTACCAGGTTGTTTCTATTAGCAGATGCTTTGTTCTACTTGGGTGAATAAAAATTAAGGGTTGGCTTGGTTTGCAAATACCTCAGGCAGTAACTTGAAAATAAAGGTTCAGAAAGAGGTGGCTCCTTTGAAAGTAAAAAAGAAAAAGGAAAATGATGATTTTTATTTATATAACAAATCACAATTCTCCCATACTACCAATACCAGAAATGTCATCCTCAAACCTTAAAAATAAGGACAGCCCCTTCTTCCTATCACATATTTTCTATCACAGGATGCTCCTAACAGTCTACTTGGGATAAGGGTAAGAAGGGGAGGGGAACATGCTGCAAAAAAAACAATAAAATGGAGGATACTGTTCTAGATCACACCTTTTCATTTCCATGACTATAAAATCTGGAACTAGTATTAGCCAAACATGCACAACCTCTGCTGCCTTCTTCATTCTTCTCCTCATGCCAGTCAAAGGTTAAAGTCAGCCACATCTTTCTCACATCTAATGTAGAGTTGCTTTCAGACATGTGGCAAGTGCCCAAGCTCTTAGAACCACCCCTAAGTGTGAAGGTAATTCAAAGAGTAGACTGGAGCCCCTTTAACAGGAGAGATCACACTACTCAGCCACATACTGACTACAGCCTATATTCCAGCTAAGGATTTGCCCATTAAAATGTATCTCTTTTAATCCTGTAACCACTATAATCAGCTCAATACTTCACTTTGCACTGAAGAACATGCAACCCCATAGGCCTCCTCTCAACATTGCCTTTAGAATCAAGCTGACTATATTACATTTATATAAAATGATTCTCATTAGAATCACAGGATTACCACTTTGCCATATATCCTATTTTTCTTTGAAATTCTTTTAGTCAACATTTACTTAGTAGCTGCTATAAATTTAAGCAAGAGAAAAAACAAAGATGAATAAAACATGATTTCTACCCCTGGATAAGCTTATCTTTTATTAGGCTCACTGGATTGTGAGTTCCTTATACAGTTGAGTGTCACATATTTTACAAACGTAGATACAGAAAACTTAAATGATTTATGATAGTCGCACAAAAATTCAGTGATAAAGCTTGCCTAGAATCGACTAATGTTTCAGTATCTTCTATGATCAAGAAATTTTAAATCTCCAACGTGATGTTATCTCTTTTTCCAAAGAAGTAGAGTCAGCGCCCTAGCAGTGCTTGCTATACGACCCTACAATAATTCATAGTATTGGTAACAGCAGTCATAAATCCAGCAGAAAGGTGAAATTTTACTCCAAAGACATAGTGGGGGGAAGTCAGGTTTACTGAAGTAGAATAAACCTGTTAAGATTGGAATTATCTTAAAATTTCTCCAAGGGGAAAGATAATAAAGTATATTTGTTTTCTCCACAATTAACCTCATATCAGAATCTCTAGCTATTTTGAGGAATGTTTCATTTCCATTCCTACCACATAACAATGGTACTGTAATATGATGAGCAAAAATCTATTTGGCACATTGCCAGATTGTCTGAAGGAAATTCAAATGGTGTGTCCATTGATCTCTTGATTGCTTCTCAAAGCATCCCTCCTCAGTTGCTTGACTGAAGAATGATTTCTATCCTGGTTATTTGTTCACAATTTGGCTCATATGAGGCTTCTGAAAGAAGCCAACATAATGAGAGCTTTCAGATAGCTTGGCCCCAAGAGCCAGAAATGCATTCATTCAAAGGGACCCTTAGTGCAACTGAGACAGTATTTTTAAGACACTGATAGAGCATGAAGAGTCTGTGAGATTAGACAGTAAAGAAAAAGTCAACTTTAGATACTCATTTAAAATTATTGAAGGTATTAAAAATGTTTACATGGCGATAATCTGAAACACACACACCCCTACCACCAAAATCGGACAATCTTCTTTCACTTGGATTCATTATTTTCTTCTACCGGTTTCTCTTGCTGTCACACTTGCAAACACACACATACATTCTGATCCTGCCAATTTTTCTACTTAACACATTTCAAACATATTGTTATAAGTAAATCCAAGGAAATACACCCAGAGTCTAAATTCACTATGCAGGGCTAACCCATTTTTTTAAAGTGGCGATTAAAATGAGCATCCTTTAAACTTCTCATCCTAAATACTCAGAATTCTTACACACAAAAAAATAATTTATTGCTAGTAATCAATTGCAGAATATTGACTTTTGTGAAATTTAATTCAATAAAAATATGGGCTAGGACTTCCTGTTAAACATAGTGGATTAAGTATGTGCACTGACCTCTGTTCCAAACTCTACTGACATGACAGGAAAGAATTCAAACAATAATTTTTTTTGTTTAAGGTATAAACTGACAATGACCAAAGAGAGAGAGGGAGAGAGAGAGATTGAGAAGAACTAACTAGTAGATCAGAAGTGTCCATGCATTTGGAAGGGTCAATGCATTGGAAGGATGAAAGTGAATGGAGAAATGGTAACTAACATATGCATGCCTGCAGACATGAGTAACAATAAGAATTAAGTGTTTCTCCTGAAAAATTCAGGAAAGCCTCAGAACTCAGAGGCAAGAGATACCAGGGAAGGTAGAGGTGGGGCTGGAGGATAAAAATAAGGAGAATAGTCGAGGACACTATAAGTACCAACAGCCCCCTTTTTCACCCCAAGCAGCCAAAGACTACCCCAGACCCTACCTTGACAAGAGGTTTAATCTCTTGGAAATTGAATCAGAGAGGTTCCAGACTTAGGGCACCAGGCACAATGGAAGGAGGGAATGAGGTACAGAACTAAAAATGGAGAGATTAAGTGAAAATCTACATGTTGAATGGTAAGATTTTCCTACCTGTTTCCAGAACACCTACATCCAGCTGAATAACTCTCAGGCAGAAAAGTGAAGGATACATATCTGTAGAAATTGAATAATCCAAGAAAAAAAGATACTGTCATATGGAGTCCCCCAACCAAAAAGCAAGCCGGCCTGTGGATCACCTTTGGACCACCCAGCCAGTCAATAAGCCTCACCAATTATTTCTTTTTTTCATGACTCCCTCATAAATACAAGCAGTAAAGGTTCACTATACATAAAAGATAGAAGCAAAGACAGAGAAAAGGAAATTAGAGGAAATACAGTATAGTGATAAGGGAAGATTTTGCAACCGTAAAACAAGAACTAATACTCTTTAAAAAAATTTTTTTTCAGAGAAAAAAATTATCTTTATTTATTAAAGATAGAGTAGCCAAAATTAAAATCAAATAGAATGTTTGAAAAATAAAGTCTAGGGCTGGCCGAGTGGCGCATTGGTTAAGAGTTGGCTTGGGACACCAGCTCTGAGCAGCAATGGTTCGGATCCCACATAAGGGCCAGTGACGCTGAGCCCTCTACAGCTAAGATGGTGAACAACAGCTCAACCTGGACCTGGGCTGCCGCAAATCGCCAGCGATGGCTAGGCTGCAGCCCCTGCTGCAGTGGGTTGCCATGGGCTACCGTTGTAGCCAGCAGCCAGTGTGAGCGGCC